TGTTCATATGAGACCCATATCTCGACGACCACCACCCTTTAAGCTTTTCATTCTTAACTTGTATCATCCTGTAATACTGTATGCTTTCTTTCCTTATACAGCTGCATGGGCCTTGCTTGCTGAAGGTTATTTCAACTGTAAAAATTCTACCTGGGCCCTGCAACAAGCATCATACATGGGATATCGCTTTACAGAAGATGATGATGAATACAGAGCTTTCATTGGTGTACTGGATTCTGCAAATCCTAACTGCGGACATCAGTGTTCATTGCCATAAAATGCACAGTCGTACAACTATTTCTTACTGAATACCTGCAAGAATAAGGCAGTCTTCCAAAAATTTCTGATCAGAATCAAGCACAAATCTTGCAAGAATTTTGATGATGAGAGACAGAAATACAACTGTATTCTGATCAGATTCCAACAGATTTTTTTTTTAAATTATCATAAAATACACGCTTTTATTTTGATTCTTCATGAAAACTGAATTTTTCTCTATTTTTCTAAAAAATTCTGACAAAAACTAGAGACTCTAGACTTTAGCTTTTGCTGTGGCTAAAATAAAAAATCAATGAATATAATAATTACACAAATCATGTTTAGATATTATTCATCAGATCAGTTCAATACTGAGTGACAGGAATATTAATTTTTAAATTGAAAAAAAGAAACACAAAATATTCATTTTTATAATAATGCAATTGACAATTTTGAACACTTTCTTTAAAAAGAAACAGTACAAAAATTAATGAATAGCATGTGCTCTAATATACTGTAAAATACTTTATTTTCGCTTGGAATTTATTTTCGCTATTTTCGCTGAAGGGATGATTCCGTGAAAATAAAATCCAGCGAATATACTTTTTTACCTATATTTCCTATTAAACTCATCAAATATCAGTGAAAATAAATTCCATGCAAAACGCCCAAAAATTAATTCCAGCGAAAATAAAAGTATTCCACAGTACATATTGCGTTCGTCATTAGCCATTATTGTAGGTGACTGTGTTAGAACAGTTGTGTATGCAAAGGACTTTATTAACCATCAGTAAATAATTAACAATCTACAGACATACTGACCCAATTAGCTTTCAATGAGTCCGAAATAACCCAGAGAGATAAGTCATATAATATGCTTTTTTGAAGAAAATAATTTAAATACATCATTAATATTTTTGTGGATCATTGTTGATATAATAAGCACAAATAAAATTTAATTTTGAACTAACCATCCCCATTATTGCTATCAGAAGAACATGTGCAAATGTTTGAAGGTTAATTATTTATTAACAAAATGTCTAGTAAGAGGTTAAAAAATTAGTTAGCTATGAATATTTAGAAACACCATAAAATTGTTTGTTTATGTTGAAATAAATTGAACATCAACAGAATCAATACACATAAAATAAAATTAAAAAATGTCACAAACAATAACAACTTACATTGGGCATTGTTATATCATATTCCGGTGTTTCCAGGATTGACAATGTTGGTGGGAAACACCATTAAAATGTTAGTTTTGAACAAGTTGTTTCAAAAGATTTACAATATACAAACATGTACAGCCACTCGTAGCCAACTGAAGTCCAAGGTTCGTATTGAAAACACTAATCACACAATCAGCAGTGACTGATGATTCTGCAACATAGCCCTGCGAAACGTGTTCAATTATGTTTCCATGCATGTATTTTCAAGTTAAAAATATGACAATTCCTGTCAAATATAGTCTAAGTACGAAACTATAAGCAGAATTCTTACCAATCTACTGAAAAACCTACGCCGAGCAAGTGCATTATGGGAAAAATATATATATATATACTAATTAAGCCAATTAATTATGCACATAATATCAACCACACTTGCAAGTCTTGCAATTGTTGCATAGTATATGACTGTTAAGTTTCATGTGAATTTTGTTCTTCCAATATCAGTGAAAATTAATTTTCACTAAATTTGTAAAATCTATAAATACATTAAATTACAATGCTATTAGCTAACTGTTTAATGTGTAGCAATTACAAATCCATACATGTTTTACTGAACCACAACATATCGCCAATGTTTATGTTTTAAAGCAATAGGTAGTGAAAAAACATTGCATCTTTCGCATCACATGGTATTTTCTCCCAAGTACATAATTTAATCTGCAGTGTTTTCAAAAACAGTTATAAAAATAATTATAATTTGCAGCACTCTGTGGAAGGTAAATTTTTGTTTTGAAAAATTGTGAAATCCTACATTCATTTGGCTAATTTGTTTACATGTACAATTAGTAAAAATGTGCATTATGAACCAAAATTGACTTTATACGAGCCTACATGTTATTGGGCAGAATGCCATGTACACAATAATATATTGTGAATTGTATGTTGTAATCATATATGTCACTAACTACAATGGTTTTGTATTTTGTGTTAAGGTTTAATATAATTAGATAACAATATTTACCTTCTGTTTTCATTTGTTTGAAGTATGTCTGAAAGCTGAATTACATTCGCAATATTTTCACTGAAACCACATGTGCCGTGCATAAACAACACTTGAACAAATGACATTGTACTAAACAGCTGAGCTGAAACTAGTTTAGAACAGACAGACAGCTACCGTGTTTTTTTTTTCACTGTAGTCATGTGATATGCAAATTACCGGGGGGGGGTCTAAAATTAAATGATTTAAATTCTTGATGATTTTATAGAAGTTTTTTTTTTCAAAACTACAAGTTTAAATTGTATATATATTAAAATAATGATATTAAATAATATATTTTTAAGAATATATAACATTTTAATTGACTAATGGTTATCACTATACAGTAAATCAAATGTCTTTAAAGAAAAGGTACATTACATTGATTAGTATGCAAATTAGCTGCAACTCTGAGACAATCTGAGTGACTGTTCTGTTTTATACATGTAAATTGATTTGACTTGAATAAAGTTTTGCTGAGAATTGAATTCTATTTGAATTCTATAACCGTGTTTGTATGAAATCTTTCTAAAATTGTGCTGACAATGAATACTCATATATCAGCACAATTGTACTAATCAATATTATGTTAGAAACAATTCCTGATTTGTTCTTGTCTATAATGGTGCATCATAAGAAATGAATCAGTCACAATTTAGTATTAATCTTGACGCTTTGGTGAAATATTTCAGCGTAACGTAAGACCACCACATCAGTCAAAATTCATATAGATCAACAACCTTCAATGAAAAAAGTAAAACTGTTGTTTAAACCTACGGTACACCTGATAAAATAGAAGGCACAGTAAGAGTGTGTGTGTTATGCTTTTCGCCGGAGGGGGGGGGGGTTACATGCACAAAAGTGGGTGGTCATTTTTAATTTTTTTGGTTTAGAAGTGTGTAGCATTTATTTACTTTTTCATAGGTCCTTATATTCAAAGCCAAATACCAGAAAAGGCTGAATAAAAAGCATCGCCCGGATGTGCTCACTGGTTGCGAAAGTTGTGAGCTGGTTTTTTAGTCCCCGTTCGGACGCAGTCCAAAAACGGGGACTTATGTTTTGACCTCCGTGTTTCCGTGCGTGCGTGTGTGCGTGCGTCTGTGCATGCGTCCGGACCTGTATCTTAGAAATGCCTGGACCAATCACAATCAAACTTCACACATCATACATGATATTATACATATGCTCGTCAATTTGTTTCACGATCTGATTCAAGATGGCCGAATGGCGTCCATTTCGGTGCTAAAAATCATCAAAATCAAGCATTCCTCGGCTGTTTACAGATGGATTTGGCTCAAACTTGGTATATACATTAGACATTATAGGACCTTGATGTACATCATTTTGTTTCACGATCTGATTTAAGATGGCCAAATGGCAGCCATTTTTGTGCTAAAAAATATTAAAAATCAACAATTTCTCGGCTGTTTACAGATGGATTTTGTTCAAACTTGGTATATACATTAGACATTATGGGACCTTGATGCAAATAATTTTGTTTTTCAGATAAGATTCAAAATGGCCGACTGGCGGCCATTTTGTATTAATGAATGTGGTTCTCATGCCATATCTCTGACTTGCTTTCACTGATTATGTTCAAATTTTAAATATTCATTATACATCATGTCATAGATAGACAGATATATTTGTTTGACGATCCTATTTAAAATGGCCAAATGGTGGCCTTTTTTGTGCTAAACAATCATCAAATATCAAGCATTTCTGGCATTTATGGATGGATTTCGTTCAAACTTGGTACATATATTAGACATTTCAGGTTCCTGATGCACATCATTTATTTGTCAGATCGGATTCAAAATGGCTGTCTGGCGGCCATTTTGTTTTAATGAATGGGCTTCTAGACCCATATCTCCGACTTGTTTTGACTGATAATATTTTTAAATATTCATTATACATCATGTCATAGATAAACAGATATATTGGTTTGACTATCCTATTCAAAATGGCCGAATGGTGGTAATTTTTGTGCTAAAAAATCATCAAATATCAAGCATTTATGGGTGGATTTCGTTCAAACTTGGTACATACATTAGACATTACGGGTTCCTGATGCTCGTCATTTTATTTTTCAGATTGGATTCAAAATGCCTGACTGGCAGTCATTTTGTTTTAATGAATGGGCTTCTAGAGCCATATCTCTTAAATGTTTTGATTCATTATATTTAAATTTTATATATTCGTTATACATCATGTTATATATATACATGTATTCAAAATGACTGATTTTGAATGCTGTTCCAGAGCAATATCTCTCAATATGGACAAGTACTTGTTTTTTTGTTTTTTTTTTCGCTGAAAACACTTGTGTTTAGAAGTGGGTATATAAATAGAAAAAAAATGGTTTAGAAGTGAGTTTGGTTTACGAGAGGTGGGCTTCACACCCTTACCTACTTAATGTGGAAGTAGTCCCCCCCGGGGGGGGGGGGCTTTTCATTTCATTGTGCAAAATATAGCACAATAAGTCACTATAATGAATGAATCAAGAATATGTTCAGTACAGTGTCACTAATGTCGGCACACCTGTCAAGAGATACAATCAACATATTTCACTATAAGGAGATTGAACATTCGAGCTTTATGAATATTATAGTGGCGATTATATGCCAAATTTATAATGATATTGTGTATGTGTCAATATTTCTTTGGAAACCTAGTCGAATTTAGGATAGATGAGGAAAAGTAAGTTTCATGCAAAGAAGTCATGTTAATATGAGGTTATTACGAGAGTACTTCAAAGTATGCATGAAGACAGTACAGCGGTAGTATCGACCAACGCGCAGCAGAGGTCGATGCGACGGCGTACTGTCTGAGTGGAACTTTGAGCAACTGCAGAAGCAGGTCGCCAATCTAAATGTGTTGATTAAATCTAGTTCATTAAATTCCTTTAATGTTACTCATCCCCTTGGTATTGACCAATCAATCCATCTATCACATCAAAAAAACACACACATCGTAACCTGACACAAGAAATGTCTTGTGATAATACGAATAAACTTATTATACAAATAAAAAATGTTTTTAAAATTTAGGAAAATAGTAATCTGCTGTGCAAACAAGTTTAATCTTATGATTGTATATACAATACAACCTACATCAACCACGTTTGCTTAGCACGGGCTAAGGAATTTGACCTCTTAGCCCGTGCTAAGGATCTGTGCGTGAACGCAACTATAGTCATTGACAGTCGATTATCATTCGATTGATGACAATCATCAATTGAGGTGCCATTGCTATTGTAAGCAAGTAACGTCAAGTCCAGTATTTTAAAGATGTTTAAGAAGAGCCTCATCGCTGTATGTTTGCTTCTGTTGTTGCTGCCAGCATCAATGGCTTTAGATCAACAGTTTGCTGAGGTGAAGACGTGGTGGGCAAAGCACGTCACTAAGGATTTCTACAGTTCAGCTAGACTAACATCCCGCCAGGTCAAGTACGCATCTGAAGTGGGTTTCAACTCAATTTTTGGCCTTGCTGTCTTCAATGAAGTTGATTATATTGGAGAAGAAGAACTCCCCACAACGAATGTTATCAAACAAATTGCAGATGGTTTGGCTGAAATTGAATACGAGATTCTACCGCAAGTGCTAGATTGGCGTACACTTGAGAGTGTTGAGTATTTCGTGAACAAGATGGAGGAAATGACTCAGCCAACTTTGGTGCACTGCGTAACGGCTTACAGTGCTACTGCAACGGTTTTACTTGGATTGTTGTACAAGACACAGCAAGACCCGAATTTTGAACCAAAGCTCTATTCTGATGGATTTTATCACATAGGCCGTGCTCATGGATTTGATTATGACATGGACCAAGATCTGATGGAATTGGTATCCCTGATCACTGGTGAACCAGAAGTAGACTTACGCACGGAACCAACCAACGAATTAATTGACTGGAGAAGCTATTGGTATGCAAAGTATGTTTCCACTGATTGGTGGGCAGCTGGTCAAATCAACGACTTGCATTTTTCTGCAGTTATTGATGGTGGATATCAAGCAATAGTTAATGCCAGGAAAGGACTTACAACATACAATAATCCATCACAGGAAGAGGTGACACTGCTAAACATAATGGACAACACAGGTACTTATACTAATGGTGGTCGTCAGTCTGAGGAAAGACTTCTTGAAACTCGTCTTGATCCCAACAAGCCAAATGAATACATCTCTTTCACATCCGACAAAAACTACGAAGATCAACATCCTGATGAATATGGTGATCATATTGGTTACAATGAACAATTCGAAATGCAAGCATGGAATGGAAGTCATGGAATAGTCGTTCCATACTTTCATATACCCACAGGTGAGTGTTGCAGTCAATGTCATAATGAGATGGTATTTGTTATTGATTACGAAGAATGACATGATGCATAATAAGAAAATGAATTAAAATAACTGAGAAGGGGATTTCTTATATATGTGTAAATACGTGAAAAGAGATGAATCACTGCAGATAATGCAAAAATAAATTCTACCGAAATGCCACTCAAATGGGTTATTTGTGTATTGCATTGTTTCAGATATAACTTACTTGTATAAAAGCTTTTTATCCAGTTTGCACCATTTCGCTTGAAACTTTTCTTTAACCATGATTAATATGTTTTACAGTAGCATGAATCAATAAATTAAAGCTTGGTAATGTCTAAGTTTGTACTCGGTAGTCTGCACAAAAGTCAAAGTCGCTATCTTTGTTCATATGAGACCCATATCTCGTGCATGCGTGAAGCGACGACCACCTCCCTTTAAATAATCAATGTTTCTGGGTGTCGAGGCGCTTTGTCACACAATAATAGTATTATATAGTATTGAATTACATAGCAAGATATTACTTTTGTGTTAAAAACAACATGTCGAGACAAAAACTTTGTGTATCCCGAAATTTTAACTAGAAATACTGCAGCGGTTTATCAATTGGACATGTATACGAATTGGCCTGTACCCAGGCTTTTTTTTAAGCATATGGCAAAAGTGTACAAGACATATAATTCATT